TTTTCTTTCTGTAACATAAATAATTGCTGCTGCAGTGAATAACGAACTCTTCCAACTTGCAACTATCAAATCAGCAGTCCTCCATAAATTCCAAAATTCGTTGTTGTTTTTGGAATTACATTCCGCTTTATCCCACATCTGGTTGCAGTCTGATTAACTTCTTGAGCTCCCTCAGCGCCGAATCATTTGCCCGGTAATCATCAAATATCTCTTCATAATAATATACAAATTATTTCAGCCAGTCACGCGAAGATGAGTTGCTGCATGACCATGAACATTCACGGATACCGTGCATATCTTATCCCAGATATTAATTTTAGGAATATATTTCTCACCCATTCGTTCAAGTGTCCAAGCGGCTCCCTTCCATCGAATGAAACTGTGCGAAGTATGAGACTTAACTGCTCTTTATTTCATCTCTCTGTCGAGTCGGTGAGTCGAAGTTAGTATAATCATGTCAAGATTCCGAACTAATTCAATCTCACGTGTTGTTTTACCAGAACCGTCAGGTCCTTTGAGATAAACAGTTTTGTCTGGCTACAGGATCATATGCCAATGGTGGTGATGATGGTTGTGACATTTGACTATTTGACAGGTTTATAACCAACAGATTAGAATAATTGAATACCTTTTCTTTTTTCACTCTCCATTCGCCCCAAAATTGCAAAATCGCCCCGGATTTATTGAAATGACGACCAAACCAAACAGCGACAACCGGAAGGAGGCACTCCGATTTTATCGGTGAAGATGCAAACTCAAATGACACAATACATCCGAATCCAGTTAAGTCAAAATCTGGCAAAGGGTCCACTTATTGCAACCCGAGTCATTTCCTGTATCGGATTTCCAAATCTTTTAAAATACTTAGTACACGCGCACATTCAGAGAAATCTTCCATAGTAACATGCAGTCATATCAACTGAGATAACATCTCCACATTCATATTTAGTATTCCACAATCCACCGTTGACGTATTCGACACATCTGTGTTGTATATCATCAAGAATTTTCAAAGGTGAAGCAATTACTGAGTAATCGTTTAATTAGATCAGCATTTTTGTGCATTTCAACGCAATCTTTGTCATCTCAGAATGAAGAGATTCAGTGCGATAAAAATGACCATTAGGCTGATCAAACTAATTATAATAACTATACTCGGAACTTTGAAACCGCCATACGGATACAGGGTCGCGTTTGCTAATATTTCTGATATAATTTAACAGTTCGAATTCGTGGAAATAATATTACGTCTGGCGTCCACGCGTGCGCGTTGTGATCAACGATCTCTGTCAAAGCTTCTTTTGATTTATATTTTGATTCGTACAAAATCTCGCCTGTTAGTGTCTTCACCCTTATTGGAAATGTTAATTTTTTACCAACTCAGCAACGTCTCTGATCGTATCTTCATTTTCTCTATCGCGCTCAGACTACTCTTATTCTTTTGCGTCTCAGATCTGTGAGACCATTATACAGTAACGAGTTTGTAAAATGTTTTGTGACTCATTCGGCAACACAATTCAGACGATCTTTAGCGATGTAAGCTCATCTGTCGATGATCATCAACGCTAGGATATCATTCAGTGGATATATCGCATAAACAACTGCTGTCACATGGTATGCTCGCATATAATGTGGTTTATCAATATTGATAAGCATTGGGAATTCCGAGATAGCCTAACTTTAACTTCTACAGGTTTTACTTGACCGTGTCCTAAAATATCTCTAAAAAATATAGCACAAGCAAAACAAACATTTACTTAAATTAATTGTAAATATTTGCATCACAGAGTCAATCAAAGAATTTCCGAAAGGAATCTAAATGACTTTTCAATGTGACCTTGTAGATGATGACATCACCGATGTAAGCGTCACAGTTATATAGATCTATGTAGTCATGTTCATTAAACGCCGGAATGTTTAGGGAGAATGTGTCATACCAGTCGGCATGACGTAATATTGATAACGTCTATCTGGAGTTGCAATTACCTAAATTTATTTTGCTCTTCCGGTGAGTGGAATTTGGCAGAATCCATTCAAAAGGTCAAACTTTGTGACATATTTTGCAGTTCCAATTTTGCTAATGCAGTAATCGATTTTTTGGTATTGGATATAAATTTATTTTGGTGACACTGTTCATTTTTCTATATTCAGTTCACATCCTGAAAGTATTATCTGGTTTCGGCACAAGAATACAGGGTGAACTCTGGTCACTTTTACGTGGTTCTATAAAATGTATGTATGCATGTATGTATGTATGTACGTCCGTAGGCACGTACGTACGTATGTATGTACGTACATATGTATGTATTATAGGTTTAACGCCATTTTTCAACACAAGATAAGCTATACATGGAGACCAGTATTAATGGTAGAGGAACAACCCGGGAAAAACCCAGAAAAGAACTACCGACCCACGAGAAGCTGCATGTAATCTTTCTCACATACCCACATTGACCGACTCCGAGATTCGAACCCTCAGAGACAGAGGTGAGAAGGTAATGATCAGTAACGGTGAGCGATTTAAACCACTTGGCCACTCAGGGCCTATGTATGTACGTACGTACGTATCGCTGAGTTGGCCTCGACAATTTGAAAGTTTCAAACATTTTTAGACTTGACTGAATACTTGGACTAAAGGCTTACAATTGAAGATATAAAAGTTACTTGATCTTTATTTATTTACCCTCCTTATTTACATATAAATCGTAGATGCTAACCAACTCTGATATTGTTGTTTAAAATGCTGATATATGGTCTAGGTGTCTGAAAAGTTATAATTTACGAGAGGTGTTTTACCTGCTTCTTCTATAACAAGAACCAAGATGACTGCGATCTTCGTGTCCGCTCAGGTATGAAAAGATAGCATGATAATAGATCTCAATCTAAATGACAGTAGAAAAAGGAGACATTATTGTAAAAGATTGCCTGATTTATGTTCCCTTTGTTGTGAAGTGTTGAAACATGAATTACATATTTACAAGTTGCTTATTTTTAGTTCTGCTGTTCATAGATATGTGTAACAATGGTAACTGTCTGAGCACTGTGGATGATTTAAAGTTAGGGGAAAAAAACTCCACAAAACCTCTTGTGCGAAAATCGGTGAGGTGGAATTTCTCATCGCGCAACAATAATCATATCTTGAGTTTTGTAATCTGATAAATCGTAACCCAACCCACCCCACACTCACCCTCTTTGTGTAGATTAACATATAAACATAAAAACACACAATAGATGGACTTTCAGTAATTTTTACAGAAAAAAGTTATATACGTAATATTTTACCTATGGAAACAATTTATTCGAAAAGTTGTATCACATGCGACACAAGCAATCGATATGCGATGATATATGATGAATGCAGAATATTGTGGTTTCTCGTCGAATTTGATGGCCAGACCCAAAGGATAGAGTAACTTCACATTTTGTACATATTTTGCCTGTATGTATTTGCTTTTATGCTCTAAAATAATGACCACAGAAAGGAGTAGTAGTAGTAGTGGTAGTAGTAGTAGTAAATATCTAATTTAATAATAAAGCTGGTAACAATTATCAGGATGGCGTCCATTAAGTCGGCATTATAAATTCTTCGTGGTTTTCTTTACTTTGAAAATGTCTGAAAATTATTAACAAGTACAGATTTTATTTCCTTGTGTGCTAAGGAATCGGGTTACAATAATAAGAATTTAAAAAATGTTTAGATTCGCAAAACCGTGTAACCTATTTGACAAGGTGAAGATAATTATCATCACTCGAGACTTTGTTTTTGTCACAAAGAAACAAAGTAAAATATATTCAAGCCGAACCAAGTAATACAGATGGAAGACTAAGTATAAAAATCTTCACAGATTCGGAAGGTTATATGTTCACTACTATAATGAGATTTTAATTTATTGTAAAAATAAATAAAATCCATTTTTATGGCTGGCACGTGGGAAAAAATTGGAATACTGGGATACTCTCTCTCTCTCTCTCTCTCTCTCTCTCTCTCTCTCTCTCTCTCTCTCTCTCTCTCTCTCTCTCTCTCTCTCTCTCTCTCTCTCTCTCTCGTTTAAAATCTCCTGTTTCTGATATACCATAAAATTACAAGCTAACACATTTTAGAAATTTAATTTTAAATGTACTCTTACATTTGTATTCTTCCTTTTTCATGTCGTTTGCTGGTTTGTTTTGAATAGGTATGTTTAAGCTCCGCCCACCTGGGGGTTGTGCAATTGGTACCGTTTTACCATATACACACATGGGCAGCAACTGTATAGGTGTAGGGGCTGGTAACCAGGCTATTAACTGGTTTTAGTAGCGCTCAGCTGACCAGATGCATCATCATAGAATGAAACAATTCTTTAAAATTTCTGCCACGCTTAATTTAAAATAAAAAAACATACGAGAATATCAGCTTGAATCGGTGAAGTCCACACCAAATGAGACTTTGGTAAGTTTATTTCACTGATTCAGATTTCAGAAAGTGAGGATTAAGGAAAATCTGAAAGATAATCTTTTGACATGTCAGTCAACCTACTTTAGTAAAGATTTGAATTACATTAGGTGTATGTAATAGTGTTTATATATACTTATGTTTTTGGTCCTACATTGTAGCTGTATGGGCAGCATGATCTTCGGGTCTGCTAGAAATTGATTTGTTTTTAACGACACATTTAATACTAACTAGGCTAAGCCGATGAATCAGCCCCACACCCATGACGATATTGATTAGTCGTTTAGGGGAGGATATTAACTTTTCATCGAAACATGCGTGTAATTTGTGTGTGTATGTGTGTGTGTGATTTAAATTTTTAAAGTAGCTCTAACAATTTTTCAGTTAAATCGATACGATATCTGCAGTTTGACAGTTTATAGTGATGTCTAGCACTGGGGCATCATGCCGCAGATATGTGGCATGATGTCCCAACCAGTTGCATTATCCTGACACCAGGCCAACCAGTCCTAACATTAACCTCTTAATGCTGAGCGCCAAGCGAGGCAGCTGTTAGTACAATTTTGTATGTCTTTGGCATGACTCGGCTTGGGTTGGAACCTGCGACATCCCGCATCTAAGGCGGACGCTCTAACCATTAGACCACCGGAACGGTTTAAAAAAAAAAAAAACATGCAAAAATCTATAGCCAGTTTTGGCTACACACATAAGTGTTAAACGTACCGGTATTTCTCGCGGCTGTGGAAATATCGTCAAATGGAGGGTTCTTTTGGTGGCATGTACATCATATGTTTTGAGCAAATCGTCTGTTTGGTGACTTGTGAATCCGAGTGAAAAGCACTACGCTCTGTCCCGTAGCCATTTTGAATTTCGCGCTAGATTTGGATGTTACCAGTATGTGTCTAAAGTGTAAGCAGGTTAGTTTCGGAAAAAAATGAACGCACACATTTTAACGAAATAGCGGCATCAAACCCACTTATCTTTCATCAGTTCAGCACATATTTGGGTGGTGGGTGGTGGATTGATTTATCTGACTACATCCACTTTTCACCATCGCCGCTAAGTAAACTCATCTGCGTAATTGTGGATATTATCCATACGCAGGTCAGATTGGCGGACATAAATAAGTGTTAAGAGTCTAACAAAATAGATTAAAGTTCTTGAGCCCTCTACGTTTATAGTTGTGATAACTTACAAGAGTCAGTCAAATATGTTTCGAATGTTATTTGAACTGAGTAAAATTTTTCGCAAAAAATGTTTTGACATGCGTTTATTCGAAACTTAAAATTTGCCGTGCATATGGAATAAATTCTGTTGTCATATCTTTTATTTGAAAGGTATGGAGTTTTGCACCTTGTTCAGCTCTTCAATTTCAGAGGTAAATAAATATTGCACATAGCCCGCAATACCATAATGCCTCATTATATATGGTCGGTTTTGAAAAACACCGGAACTTATGAAGTTTGGAGTCACCCAGCGATATTGCCACATCATACAGAGGAAATGTTAACTAATAACCTGTCCCAGAGTCACGCCAAACCCCCCCCCCAGACAACTTGTCATGGGCGTGTGTCGAATTCGTGATTTTTGGATTACAAGTCTGACACTCTTTTTATGCTCCATCTGCAGCAACCTAGGAATTGTGATACTATTTGATTTGATCAGTTCTCAGGGAATAAAATTCCCAAGCAATAGTCCCAAGGACGAGTGAGTTACAAGTTTTACTCGTCCATATTTTCGTCCTACTCAACATAATAGACGTCTCCACTACATCGTTTACGTTTTTACTAAACAATCATAGATACCTGGTGCAAGCTTGATACTAAATTGAGTAAAATCATTGAAAATGTTATGGTCTAATACGTGGCTCCTTTGATAAACGTGGCTCCTTTGATAAACATTTATTACAAGACAAGGCCTGTAACTCAGTAAATTGCAAACATGTTTTACTTGTGGTAATCGCGTTTACATTTAAACGTTTGAGCAATCTGGGTGTGATAATGTTTCATTTCCACAAACTGTCACACAGCTTTAAGAGTTTGATACAGGAAAAGGTAAGAGAAACAGAATGTCAACATTTTGCGATTCTTGCCTGTCATTGTTACGCTTCCGCTGTATTAGCCGTCCTTACAAAACTGAGCAATTTTTTAAAACATTGTCACCACAAAGTAAAGACGTCAGCAAATATTTATATCAGTATTAAATTAATCTCCCGAAGAAGAATGTCTGAATCTTGAATTTAAAAGAATTCCTACAGCTTCAATTTCCACCACTTTTTGTACTAAATGATCTATTTTGACAAAGCTCTCATTCTAGTGAATTACAAAGAGTACCGTAAAACGGAACTGACTGAGCAAATGAATTTAAACATTTCTAGATCATCAATCGGATTAAAATTAGATATCCACCGTCATAAGTGTAGATTTGACAGCGACTGCTAAGGGGTTATGTTCTGGTGACATTTGAATTAGCCAATAAAAATGATGCAATACATTGAGCCTTGCGTACAATGCATTTGGCAAACATCATGAATACATTGGGCCGTGCGTACGATGCATGTGGCAAACATCACGAAATACATTGGGCCTTGCGTATAATGCATGTGGCAAACAACACGATGCCATCTAATGGGGTATGCCATAATGGTCTCCTTCCAGTGAATCAGGTCCTTTGATTCATATTATACACATACCTGTAATCAGATTTCAAAGTTGTGGTCGGTAGTGATAATGGCGAAGGAGCGTCCGAAATATTCCTGAAATGCGTAACATAAAATGGTTCGTGTGCTTGTTGACATCTTACTTCTTTTTCGTCTCTTCTTTCACCGCATGTAGTTTTCTTAATATTATTCGTCCAAAGTTTATATCTTCAGATATAATCAGCCTCTCTTACTTAATACCCTTCTAAAGATAATGAAATGTACTTGCTGTTAGTTACTTATAAACAAACCTTATATGTATGCACAAATAGGATATATATTGAATTTGCTTGTTAGTATGAGAACAATTATTGTTGTGGGATGCGTTTCCGCTAGTGTGTGAGAAATGAAGAAAAAGACTAATTTTAACAAAATTACAAACTGATCAGGCAAGATACATTAGCAGTTGCATAATTTACAAGAAGGTTCTTCTTTCAGTTATATTGGATGTTACGATTGCCACCAATCGTGGATATTACATAAAGTATAGCTCACAATGCTTTAGACATGTTGGAAATGACATGTATAAAGTTAAAAACCGTGTTTTATTTTTGGGATTGTACGGTATATCGAGTAGGCCACATATAGGGAAAGAGTTGACACATATTTTGTACAATTAGCTATATGCATAGTAGTGTTGATTCAGTGACAGTTTCTGTATTAGTGATACATAATTATTTATGTTGTTTTGAGCGTGACATTTAAACAATGGGTAAATTAGTTTTTATTTTTGTATAGTGCAGTAATTTGCAAAGACATAGGGTGCTTTGGAAAGCAGGAGGCGGCTAAATGTCGGTGATGGTTGATATTGGCATCCATAGGCAGCTTGGTATGTCTGGTGCTCTACATGGGCTGCCTTAGCTTAATGTGGCTGTTGCTCTACATGGGCCGCCTTAGGTAGCTTAATATGGCTGTTGGTCTACATGGGCCGCCTTAGGTAGCTTAATGTGGCTGGTAGTCTACATGTGTTGCCTTAGGTAGCTTAATGTCGCTGGTAGTCTACACGAGCCGCCTTAGGAAGTTTGGTATGTCTGGTGGTCTACGTGGGCTGCCTTAGGTAGCTTAAAGTGGCTGGTAGACATCACGGGCTACTTTAGGTAGCTTAATGTGGCTGGTGGTCTACATTGGCTGCCTTAGGTAGCTTAATGTGGCTGGTGGTCTACAATGGCAGCCTTAGGTAGCTTAATGTGGCTGTTAGTCTAAATGGGCTGCCATAGAAAGTTTAATGTGGCTGGCAGTCTACATAGGCTGCCTTAGGTAGCTTAATGTGGCAGGTACTCTACAAGGGCTGCTTTAAATAGCTTAATGTGGCTGGTGGTCTACATGGGCCGCCTTAGGTAGCTGAATGTAGCTGGTAGTCTATATTGTCCGCCTTAGGCAGCATGGTATGTCTGGTGGTCTACATGGGCTGCCTTAGGTAGCTTAATGTGGCATATAATCTACACGGGCTGCCTTAAGTAGCTTATTGTGGCAGGTAGTCTACATGGGCTGCCTTAGTTAGCTTAAAGTCCCTGTTAGTCTACCGTGTACGCCTTAGGATGTTTGGTATGTCTGGTGGTCTACATGGGCTGCATTAGGTAGCTTAAAGTGACTGGTGGTCTACATGGTCTGCCTTAGGTAGGTTAATGTGGCTGGTGGTCTACATGGGCTTCCTTAGGTAGCTTAATGTGGCTGTTAGTCTACATGGGCTGCCATAGAAAGCTTAATGGGGCTTTTGATTTACATGGTCTGCTTAGGCAGCTTGGTATATCTGGTAGTCTACACGGGTTGCATTAGGTAGCGTAATGTCCCTGGTAGTCTATATGGGCTGCATTAGTTAGCTTAATGTAGCTTGTAGTCTACTTAGGCCGCCTTAGGTAGCTTAATGTGGCTGGAAGCCTACATTGTCCGCTTTAGGCAGCATGGTATGTCTGGTTGTCTACATGGGCCTCATTTGGTAGCTTAATGTGGCTGTTGGTCTACATGGACTGCCGTAGGTAGTTTAATGTGGCTGGTGGTACATATAGGCTGCCTTAGTTAGCCTAATGTAGCTTGTGGTCTTCGTGGGCTGCTTAAGGTGGGTTAATGTGGCTGTTGGTCTACATGGTCTGCTTAGGCAGCTTGATATATCTTGTAGTCTACATGGGTTTCCTTAGTTAGCTTAATGTCGCTGGTAGTCTAAATGGGCTACCTTAGTTAGCTTAATGTAGCTGGTAGTCTACATAGGCCGCCTTAGGTAGCTTAATGTCCCTGGTAGTCTACATTGTCTACATTAGTTAGCTTAATGTAGCTGGTAGTCCACATAGGCCGCCTTAGGTAGCTTAATGTGGCTGGTAGTCTACATTGTCCGCCTTAGACAGCATGGTATGTCTGGTGGTCTACATGGACCGCATAAGGTAGCTTAATGTGGCTGCTGGTCTACATGGGCTGGGTAATTTACTGTGGCTGGTGGTACATATGGGTTGCCTTAGTTAGCCTAATGTGGCTTGTGGTCTTCGTGGGCTGCTTAAGGTAGCTTAATGTGGCTGTTGGTCTACATGGTCTGCTTAGGCAGCTTTGTATATCTGGTAGTCTACATAGGCTACCTTAGGTAGCTTAATGTGGCTGGTATTCCACGTTGGTTGCCTTCGGTAGCCTAATGTAGCTGGTGGTCTGCACGGGCTGCATTAGGCAGCATAATGTGGCTTGTGGTCTACATGGGCTACCTTAAGTATTTTAATGTTGATGGTGGTGTTCATGGGCCGCCTTAGGTAGCTAAGTGTGGCTGGTAGTCTACATGGGATGCCTTATGTAGCTTAATGTTGCTGGTCGTCCATATGGTATGCCTTTGATAGCTTAATATGTTTGGTGGTCTACATGGTCCGCCGTAGGTAGCGTAATGTGGCTGGTTGTCTACATTGGCTGCCTTAGGCAGCTTGGTATGTCTAGTGGTCTTAATGGGCTGCATTAAGTAGCTTAATGTGGTTGGTG